CTTACGCTTATCTAATAAATACAACTAAATTAATTAATATTAAAATGTATTTACAGTTAATGACACAAATTTAAATAAATGAACCTGAAAGGGCCTTATTAAGAGAATTTTTTGCTTTTTCTTTATCTTCCCATGAAGATTTTTGGGGCATACGAAGTGATTTCTCATGTAATAAAATATCCTGATCTGGCTTTATATCATGCGAATCTTCATTTTTTCCAATATTTTCTAATTTAGATACTAAATAATCAAGAGTTTTAAGAATGCGTTTTTTAGAATAAACGATATCTGTTTTTTCTTCGAATAATACATATTTTATAAGTTGATATTCTTCCGCTTTATTGAGAATACTCAATAAATCATAGCGAATATCTAATAAACGCCAAGTAACCGGATATAATTGAATAAATCTTACAATAATATTTCGTGTTTGTTTAATTATCTTTTGAAATTTTGAATAGCGATTTTCATCGGATAACGAAAAATAATTATCAACATTATCATTCAAAAATTTAAGTGTGCGACAAGCTTCTATTACAGCAAAAATTACATCATCACCCCCATTTTAATTATCGCGGGTTGAGAATGAGAATCTTTGGATTGAAATGAAAGCTTAAATTTTCCAATTGCATATTCAATTTTTTAACATCATTTTTATTATCGATCACACTAATGAATTCAAGTGTTCTTTTTTTAGCTTGATCATTTTTATCTTTAGCTCGATCATGCCAAACCTGAATTGTATCACTTCCGATCAAAAGTAGAACTTCCTTTTCATTGTCAAGATAAACTGAATACCGTGGACCTTCTTTCTCAAGCCGCCGTGCCCAAGGCTCAATTATATAATAATTTCTATCTAAATCTAACTTTTGATTATCAAGATTAAAAATAAAAAACTTATTATTGTCAATATCTGCAGAGTTTTTTTCTAACGATAGTGTCTTCAAATCTTGTTCGTCACTTTTTTCGTTCTGAATACGTATAATCTGAAATTAAATCATCATAAATTTGCCTATCTTCGGTGAATTCTTTTCATCCTCTTTATTTTTAACGACGATTACAAAAGAGTTTGATCGTTCAATTGATAATTATTTGTACTCAAAATACCTGAAATTTTAAGATCAAGCGCAAGTTGATTTTCGAGTTTAATTGACTTTTGGACTGAACTGAAAATATCCCAAATAGTCCATTATTTTTTGACTGATATATTAATAATCTTTCATCATTGTTAAAGAAATGCATGAAATAGTCATAAAAAGATTTGTCAGTTTCAACATTTATAGAAGCAATCTCAAGTCCACATTCAGTCAAGTATAATTTGACCTGCTTTCCAGATTTATACGCTAACAATTTGTTGTTGTTTGATATTGCAAAATTATCAGAAATATCTAGTATGTCATTTTTTAAGCTGTTTAAATTTCGCCTCTTAAAGGTATTTACTAACTGGTTCGTTTTTAAATTATATAGCTCCATATATTGTGCTCCTTCATTTGTAGTATCTACCAAAAAATAATGTTTATTTAAACATCTTAGAATATATTTCAGATTAAGTTTTGCCGAAAATTCGTTATATTTTAAGGTTTTACGTATTCGCTTTGGATAATAAAAACTTTGAATTTTACCAGTAGGTTTATTTAGGTGTTTAAAGTGATGTTTATGAATCCCATAGCCATTTAAAATAACAAGAAAGTATTTATCTATATTTTGATAATTATCTTCATTGGTATTTTTATCCATATTTCGGCTACCCTTATCGGTCTTTTTGTTATCCTCATTTTCCGAAAACAATTTGACTATTCCATCGTATTTATCTAGCCTTA